ATGATGCTCGTCTTTAAAAACCCGTATCTACTCATCCCTGACTGCACAATGTTGGAAGCTTACTCGTATATGTTAGAGTGATTGTACCAGAGGGTGTAGATACACAAGTGGGAGGCTTCAACTCCAATCCCCTTGAGGGATAACACTGTGGGATGTGGTGCTCACTCTCGGCAAGGATGACACATTGCTCCCCCTGGGAATCCCGTACCTCCTGCATCCCGCCACACAGCACACATGTGGGCGTACTTAACATTATGACGTATACACACACACGGTTACCACTCTACAGGACATTCGAAGTATCAATGTATATCTGGATTAACTTAGAATTTATTCAACGCCAACTTTTTAAGTTTTTGCGGTAACTCAGTGGAGTAAAGTCACTGTTGTAGGTCTCAAACCTGATATAGCCCAGATGCGTCAGACGTGTTTACCCTTAGCTAACGTGTTAGGTTGTAGCTTATAAGTTGTATGGGCTATATGAATATCATATCTAACATCTGAAAGCACTGTGATTACTAAGTGGATAATCTGTTCAAAGAAGAACACTTGAAACGAAAGGATTTAAATTGAAAGCCATCATAGTAACAACAACTTAACTGTGTAGCGAACAATAGGTACAAGGCTATTTGGGTATTAAAAACATAAAACACGACGAATTCTTGTACAAATTTTGCTTACAATTTCAACACAATTAATTCAACGTGCCCTTAATACCTGATCCCCACGTACTGTCACTATAGTCTATTGTCAGCGTTAGATTACTTGGTGAATAGGGATTTTAGTTCGTCTCGTTATGGCTAGGTTTATGCAATGGGACGACATGGCCATATATTTACCGGCCATACGAGCATTCTGCGATGCACTGATTGTCCCATTGTCATAGGTGCACACTGCTGTTATTTCGGCCAATAGTACCGATCACAGCATTTCATACTAACATCCCTCCCTTTCGTACCTCTTTTATAAGAAGCCACGATAAATGATTTGGACGACATCTTCCTGAGCAATTAATTTTAAAAATATTTAATTAATTTATGCACGATTTTCCTTCAAAAAGTGGCAACTATATGTCGGCTATCTTTATACTATTGTTATGTCCTGCATTACGGTCGGGATACATAAACAATTTCACAGGCCTACCAACTTCCTTGCTAGCATACTGTTGTCATTATAACGCTTAATGGCAACGATTCATTAGCTTCGATATTATCCACTGTCTGAAATTTAAATAATAACAATACAAAAATTAATTTATAGAACATTATACACGTCTAGTTGTTTTAATGTAAATTAGACAATGGATATAAGTAAACAATTAAATATCATAATGGTAGCGTAATTATTACACTGTCGTTAAAATTAATAGCCACTTTATTTATCTGTATAGCCAGTGAACAAGAAAGGTTAATTAATGAATGAATGAGTCTGTTACAGTATATAAACAGATCTTCCATTACAGTAATTTCTACTGTTTGATCAATTAGTCCTTACAAATTGCTACAGTTTCCTGATAATTTCACGAAATTATAGCAATTTCTTCCTGTCTACTAATAAAGGTCTTAGAGAAGATTTCCTTACCAGGCCTCAAATTTTCCCACGGAGCAGAGTATTTTAACTGCAACGAACTTAATTTTCCCCTCGTTTTCCTTCCAGTTTTGCTGTAGCTGTTAATTGGCTCGCCATATCATTAACCGTGCCTGGCGTGATGCATAGATAAATTGCGAAGGGGTGGCTGTTATAGAACAAATGCAATTCGTCACGGGAAATAATTACCATATTTAAGCAGCGAGGAGTCACAGATGACTTGGAACGCTGGGGATCGATCACTGATAAATGGAAACCACTACGCGGTAAAAAGAGACAGTCTACATTATATTTGAGATTTATTCCAGACGTAAAAGTAATTTGTTTTAAAAGTCCTTTAATATCCATAAATAAATACGAAATACTCTCTTTCTTACAGGGTAAAGCACATCTAGATAATTCAATCCACAATATCTGTGTTACAATTAGCTGCTGTTAAAGAGCACTGCATTGTGAATGAACTTATTACATCGTCAAGTTTCACTTCGTAAGTTTCTGCGACAGTCGTCCCTGTAAATTTACACATGGCCCAGAATACAAGACACGGGTGGCAATGCCGTCAATATTTTTTATAACTTTGTGGAAAGTTACACTGAATGAAGAGAGGAATACATACGTACATTGGTTTCGGGCGTGACAGAAATAGATGTTTCTAGATGTAGGCTGATATGCTTCTCGTATCACATTCTTATTTCCACAGCATAAATTATCTGTAAATCGCTCCTCCCCGATTCTTTCTGTCTGCGAAATCTAGAGGGTGATTCCTAGACTTTCAGTCACTGTCACTGTATTTGGGATCACAATCACAGACTGAAGCTAATTTCAAGAAATTAAAGCCATATTAATTTCTGCGAATATTTTCTAACATTCGGTTATGAAATTTATATCTTACAGTCTCCAATGCAAAACCCTAATGACTAAAATAAACAATACTATAAATATAAACTTTGTGTTGTGCGTAAAAGAACATTATATCTCACTGACGGAATGTCATTGACAGTATTTGAAACCCAAGTTCCGGGGAGAATAATAAGACCTGAGGTGAAATGAAATGTGATTAGAAATAAATACATAATGAAGAGCTTCATAATTTTTACTTCTGGGCAAACGAACAAGGCCGGGGGAGGGGGGGAGACCAGGAAGTACATCTAACACGTATAAGGGGCGTTGGTAATCACCACAAGACTGCACGACGTCACAATCCATAAAACAACCCACTGTTTGACCCTAGACCTGGCAAAACATTGTCTCTGTTGAGTTGCGTGTGACTAAACTCCCTGATCCGAATGCGGACATAAATATTAGATTAATGTTGTTAAATGATTTATGTGAGAGCCGCGAGTCGAAATCATTTCAAAGAATTCTATAAAATATTTACATTTAAAATCCCTTCTTGGAATTCTATTAGGGAGCAGCATGTGTCCGGCAGACCGTCTCGTCTCATATTCGGACAACCGATATCATACACATTACTTTACCGACTGCCTTTCCAATTATGGTTTTAGTGTGTTGTAAGTTTAAAATCGAGAATAAGGTGTCATGCTTGTCGATTTTATCCTTAAACACGACTTCAAATGGGTTTGAGAGGCACAGCGTGTTTCACACTTGGAACACTATGGCAGACAATCAAACCAATACCACACATAACCAAGGGGAAGCCACATTAGGCAGGATGTGACTAGAGAATGGGGCATGATGCATGTGCATACCATATCTGAATTCCGTGAAATTACCTCCATGTTTCATGTCAAACAGCCAGCAAATCGAAAAAGTTAATAAGCCACGAACGTAAGTCACAGAAGAATCTTACGACACAAATTCAGTTGAAAGTTTCCATGCGATTGGAGAATAATAACGAAAACTACAAATTAATATTAAACGAAATTAATAATGCACAGACCTTTGTGTTAAAAGTAACCAGTAGCAGAAACGTAAGCGTTTTAAAGCTGTTAAATACATCCTAAAAATTTTGTACCATCGCCAAGTCTGTATTTTTAGCCTCTTTCTTTACTGACAGACGTAACGATTGGTTGCCTAACCTAATTCGACTAATGCCTTATCTGGATCGCTCCTCTTCGCAAAATGATCTTTTGTGATAGGTAAGAAGGGCTTAAGTCAACTGGAATTACATTTGAATTAAGCGTTTATTTTCCAGCACCAAGTTTATAACATAACTGAATTGGAAAATATGTTATTTTTGTGTCCTGGGAGCACATAGTATTTACGTGTTCCAAAATTCAAACAAAAAATGTCTATCAAACATTATTTTTTTTCATATTTATAATGTATTACAAAAGTTGTATTGCATGAACTTAATTATAATTCTTGTTTAGTGTCTAAATGAAACTGAGTGATCAAGACTTGCTTATATTTTACAATGAAACAATAATAATCACGTATTCTTGGTGTAGGTAAGATGAAATTATCGTAAGTTATTTCGACTATGTAATAAATACAGCGGTTATTTTGTGCAGAATAATATGTGCTTTGAGATAAAACAAAGATGCGAAAAGAAGACTTTATATATTGTCTTACCATACGACGTATATGGTTTCCCAGCAACAACCAGATAAACAGGACAGAAGAGATAAGGGTGAGAGAATGGTTTTATAGTACAGATAAGTGAAGTTGCAAACATTTAATACGTAAAATAAAAAATCACTGCCTCTATTAATAACAGTTTTAAGCTTGTTCTGACACACCAAATTCATCAAACTCTCCAGTTCTGTGACAGCACCCAACTACAGCTTTAGATCGGGCGAGTGACCGAAAAATGACCATAATTTCTGATAATGCTACACGTGTCCGTTTATGCTGGAAGCTGGCTTGTTTCCCTGTAGATTGGGTAGGTTTCTACCCTGTTTCCACCCTATAGCACTCACATACGAAGAGTCACTACCGAACCATCAGGCAGTGCTATCTGAAGTCCGCTCTGTATGAAACCAATTTGGCAGGGAGGTTATCTACGTTATTTAAATTAACAGACGGCTTCCGGGATGAAACTGAAGTTATCAAAACGTGTAATTTGTACGCAAGGAGTTTTAAATCTATATATATATATATATATATATATACACAATACACGAAGGAGAGTTTGCAACAGGAAGGAAAGACGAGACCAATAAATAACGTAGAGTAGGAAGGAAAAAGTAAGTAATAGGAAAAATGAAGGAACAAAAAAAAAGAGTGAAAATAACGAAAATGAAACAAAATCAGAAAAGGAGGACAAAGCAAACATTAAGGAATGGAGGAAGGGAGAAAAATAAATTCATGAACGAATAT